TTAAGGTGAAACAGTGAAACACACATAATCTTAAGTGTATAATTTGATGAATTTTGATATGTGTATACGTCCATGTGACAAGATCTGACATTGCTACTATGCTAGAAGGTTTCTTTATATCCCTTCAGAGTCCATACCTCCCTCCCAAGACAACTATTTTTCTGATTCTTTTTCACCATAGTTTTACCTGTTCTAAATAAAACTTCAGATAAATGGGAGCATATATTATATACTGTGTTGTGGCCAGCATCTTTTGCTCAACAATACATCTAAAAAATTATCCATATTGTTGCACATATCACTAGTTCTTTCTTATTCCTGTACAGTCTTCCACTGTTGCCTGTATTACATCTTGTGTACCCATTCCCCTCTTGATAGGCATTTGGATTATATCTAGGTTTCGACTATTGCAGTTTAACTAAGGTGTTATAAACATTTTTGACAAGTCTTTTGTCATATATATTTTGCTTTCTTTTGTGGTAAATAGGCTTCCCTCATAGCTCAGTTGGTAAAGAATCTGCCTGCAAAGCAGGAGACCTGGGTTCAGTCCCTGGGTTGGGAAGCTCACCTGGAGAAGGAAACAGCGGCCCACTCCAGTATTCTTGCCTGGGAAGAAAACTGTCCCATGGACAGAGGAGCCTGGCAGGCTACAGCTCATGGGGTCACAAAGAGTCAGGTGTGACTGACAGTTTCAGGTTTTCAGTTTGGGGTGAATACTTAGGGGTATAGCTGAGTCATAGCTAGGTGTGTATATTTAATTTAGAGTTAAATTTTTTTGAGTTAGAATTTTAAAATTGTGATTAATATTTATTCCAGAAAAATAAGAAGCCAAATTAGGTATGTTCATGATTATATTTTTAAACTGATTTTAAGTCATTGAGATGTAGTCTGTAAGTGTTTGAGCAAATGAATGCAATTTAATAATCTAGTTAATATAATTTTAAGGAACTTGTCAGAATTATCATCTTTCTTAAATTCCTCAATTTTGATTTCAACTCCAGTATATCTTAGGTTGCTATTCTTAACCAGTCATTTATTATGAGTTCAAATTAAATACTATTAATTGAACAACATATGAATGAGAATAAAAATGTGTTAAAGCTTTGTAAAGCGTCCATTGTAGCTTCCCAGATGGCTCAGTAGTAATGAACTCAACCTGCTACCAATGCTGGAGATGCGGATTTGATCCCTGAGTCAGGAAGATCCCCTGGAGAAGGAAATGGCAACCCACTCCAGTATTCTTGCCTGGGAAAGCCCGTGGACAGAAGAGCCTGGCGGGTTACAGTCCACGGGTTCACAGAGTCGGACTCGACTCAGCGACTGATCAGCAGCGACAGCAAAGCTCCCACTGCAGCTCAGTGGCGTCATGATCCAAGTCACGAGCATGCCCATCACTCACACATGCTCATTCGGCATATGCGCTAAGGCCCCCAAATGGTTCCACTGTGGAGGAAGCAGACCCATGGTACATTGTTTGTCAGGTTATTAAAAAACAAAACAAAACACTGAGATTAAAACCACTGCATTTTCCACCTTTAATGTTGCAGCCCCAGAACACTGTATAGGGGTTCTGCCAGTTGGAAAACATTGTCCTTTGCTACTTTTGAGAGACTGGAATTTTTAGGTAATCCTCTGGAACTTTGTTATGATATGAATTTATAATTAAAGCTGTAATTCAGATATATTAAACCCCCTTAAAAGCATCGTTAACACACTTATTTTTGTTTTGAGCTGAAAATGTTTCTGTTTACTTTTGGTGAATGATTTAAGGAATTAATAGCAAAGATTTTTACAAAATAAACTTTTTTCTCTGTTGTAGATATGTTTGGCACTAATATGTGTAGTGCTGCAAATATTTTAATGTATATTTATTAAGCAAAGAATAAAGGATTATTTAAAAATAGACATCTTGACTGTAGCTTTCCAGAAACATCATTTGTAGTATTGGACGTCAGAAGGGGGATTTTCTGAAGAGAGAAGAGAAAAGTCATTGGGTATTCTTATATCCAAATCTTCCTTGGTTTCAGCCAAGCCAGACACATGAAAGCAGATAATTGTGGCTGAGCTCTCCTTCGTTTATACACACAGCTGATACACGCTCAGCCCACAGAGGCCCCGACATTGGAGGGACGGGTTTCAGGAGCCGGTTGCGGAGCCTGGCCCAGGTTTCCTGTGCCTAGATCTGTCATCGCATCTTTAGGAATCTTGAAAGTGGGAAAGATTTATGCTATAGTCACTGGGCTGTCGTGGAAGGTTTTAAGTCAGCTGTGTTTCTCAAGTGGAGGCTCAGGCCGATTATAATGCTATTCACCAGCCTAACAAGGGTGCGTTGGGAAGACTTGGTATCTTAAAAAAAAATGTATTTCTGTCTTTATTATTATATTAGGATGATCTCACCATACATCAGGTTTAGGATGCACTTTTACACTCGAGATATTATTCTTATATTTTATCTATTTGATACTTGAGTAATTCTGTACAGAAGAAACCCTGGAGGAGGAAATGGCCACCCACTCCAGTATTCATGGGATTCTGTCCGAGAATCCCGTGGATGGAGGAGCTTGGTAGGCTGTGGTCCATAGGGTCACACAGAGTCGGACATGGCTGAAGCGGCTTAGCATGCATGCACACATGCATATATAGAAGAAAGGCCATGTTAATGAGATAAGTAACTGATAGATGGTGTCTCTTGGCAGGTTTCAGAGTTAAAGTGCAAGTTAGAGCCTTAATTTTCATGTGGAAAGTAGCTACACTTTGTTCTAAGGAATTTATTAGTTTATATGTGTTACTTTATTTAATTCTTACAATAACTATATAATAGCCAACTCCAATTTGGAGCGAGAAAAATGAAAACTTTTGACATTAAGTTCAATAGAGATTACTAGATCATTGGTTACTTGTAGAAAGTTTTATTTGTCTTTTCCATGACACATGGAATCTCTATGTCAACTTTATATACATGTGTTTATTCTGACAAGAACTATAATTTATGCCATTGCTTTTTAATAACAATTTTATCAAAAAAATTAATGCAACTGGCATATTTCAGTCAAGAACATTAAGTCTGTGTGTATGTATGTGGTGCATATACTTCTAAGTATTTATGGAGTGTAAGAGTATAATAGTAGCTCTACATAATAGCAGTCATTGTATGTTTTTTAAACTTTCTAAGATTTCTTTTCTATACAAACGAGCTCTGTGAAATTATTATAGCCAAAATACCACTGTTTGTCTTTCATTCAATTTACCTGCACTTCATAAAAATGCTTAAATATTACTTCATCATCTTTCAGTTTGCATTTCAGTATGTGAAATCTATAAACTAATTCTTGAATATTTTATGAAGTATTTCTGATTTTTGCAGGTGTTGCAAGCCATTAGGAATATTTAGCTTAATTTGGAACAGAATTCTCTATCTTTTGCTGATTTTTCATTTTTGAAAAACAGGTTATAGTAAATCCATCTATGTATAATCCTTCCATGTCTTTGTACAGTAAGGTTCAAAGGGATAAAAGTTAAAGTCATGATATCCTGATCGAAATGCCGAGAATTGTTTTTACAGATAATGCATATCATTGTGTATATGTTATGTGTCCCCTCAGTAAAATTCTGTTTTATAGAATGTTTGAGTAGGATCAACAGTCACAGTTAATAAAAAAGAACTAATAAAGAATAGCCTTTCCTGACTTTGTTGTTGCTGTTTTTGAGGAAGGTTATTCTACAGTGCCTTTTTATTTGTATGAGAGCAGTCTGTTTCTAAAAGAACCAGTAGAATTGATTAGATCATGTTTTAAAATACTTTGTAGTATGTTCATGGTGGTATGGTCATGGTGATATGCTGACAACTGGTAGTTGAACAAGACCGAGCTTAAATCTTTTATGCCGACATAGTGTTGTTCTTAAGTGGTTTAAGTTTCTCCTTGAGCAGACTTGTGCCTATAAAATTATTTGCCTTAGAATGAGTAGAGCAGACATTTGGCTGATCATGACCTATGGGATGGTATCAGACCTTGATCCTCAAAGTAGAGTCCACGGACCAGAAGTCTCTTTGAACATGGGGTTGTCCCTGACTCTCTTACAGACTTGGGGGTATGGGTGAGGATGGGGTTCTCAGGTTCTGGGACACCAGTGCCCGAGTTTGAAAATATATACCACCATGACCACAGTGAACTTAAAGAACTACAATAGCCCTCCTTTAATATACTAAAAAGGTAATTTTTCTTGAAATTTTGTTCCCGCTCCCTTTACTTCTGATTTTTATCCAGCAGGGTAAAGTTTGTCTGCCTTGCACAGGTGACCCAGAAATCTTCCAGGTGAGAAACAGCAGCTCGTGGTTGATATGTGTGAAATGCCTTAAGCATGTGAGACCGGGAACAAGACCCAGAAACACAAAGATGGCTCCCGGAAATGTGCACTTTTCTGCCATACGAGTGGCAACCATATTATTAACATAGCAGGGAAGGGAGTTTGCCATCAAGTGTCTCACAAGGAAGAAATTTTAAAGAAAACTCTAGCATGGTCTAGTTCAAGACTGAATGGCACTCTCTTTGTTTATTGTGGTGAATGTATTACTTTTGGAAAATTTTACATAATATTAAAAAAAATATAAAATAGGACATTTATTAGTTCACTTATACCATAGATCCTTTCCTCTACAGATTCTCAGTCGTGAACTGAATTCTTGAGATTAAGGCGATACAGTGATATACTACAATTTTTATTGTTGTTTTCTGCCTCCCTTTGAAAGGCACGTTAGGCTTCTTATTAGAGAAGAGCAACCGGACATCTTTGGCTCAGGATCTTTCACTGGAAAAGAAGTTTTGACTTGCACCAGGTTTAAGTGTCAACTTGACAATAGATAATTTCAGGAGATTGCTGAATGTTCCAGCTAAGGATAAGCTTGGATTTTGCTGTGTCGTGATTGTCCTTGAAGTGCTGTGTGGTCATATCCCTGTTGTGCACCATGCTTAGTGAGTGCCCTGGCCCTTTTTGCTCCACAGGAGAACGACTCAGGCGCTTTGGACACAGTGGGCGCTGTGGTTGTGGACCACGAAGGGAATGTGGCTGCCGCCGTCTCTAGTGGAGGCCTGGCCTTGAAACATCCGGGGAGAGTTGGGCAGGTAAGAAACGCTGAGGTTTTTCAACTAGCCTCACAAGTTGAACATAGAATTTTCCAGCTCACAGGTTTTTGAACCAGTAGAGACATTTTTTTTTTTTCTTTAGAAAAAACAAATGGTATTGTTCCTAACACTTACATAGTATGAATCATCAACTGCCTGTTTAGGATATTTTCTAAAATGAAAACCTACCTCAGAATACTGGGGTTCTTACTGATCATTCTCTGTAGAAGTGAGCACCTGACTGTATGACTTGCTTTTCAGGTGGGAAAATGGTTTCAGAGTTGCATTTTGTATTTCCTCTATTCAAGGAACAGTAACATTTTGACCAGAATCCTTTCTCTGATTAAGCACTTCAGCTGTTTTATAGACTAACTGGTATTTCAAGTCACCAACACATGATACTACTCAAGAAATCGAGATATGAGGGAAGCCGAATTTATGTGCAACTGGTTTTTTGCGAACTCACTTGTACATCTTCTTCACCCCCAACTCCCCATCTCCAGCCTTTAGTACTAAATTGAGAATGAAATTTAGCAATACATTTGATCTAATAATCTTTCTGAGTATATACCAATTTGGCACATTGCTTACTGGCTTAACAAATGTCTGTTGAGTGAACAAACGAATTGGATGCCCTCACAGAGTCTGTTGGCCTCCCAAGTGGCACTAGTGGTAAAGAACCTGCCTGCCAGTGCAGGAGATGCAAGAGATGCGGGTTTGATCCCTGGGTCAGGAAGGTCTCCTGGAGGAGGAAATGGCAACCCACTCCTGTGTGCTTGCCTGGAGAATGCCATGGACAGAGGACCCTGGCAGGCTACAGACCATAGAGTTGCAAAGCGTGGAACACGACTGAGTATGCAGCACAGCACAGTCTGTCAAAGTATAACAGTCGCCTGGGGAGTGTGTAAGCTCAGCACTTGGATCTCACGCTGCCTCTGGAGCACTGCTTGGCACGCTCCTTGTGCTTTCTCTCTTGTGTTTGAGGAAGAGTCCACGTCACAGTTGCTTTGGACACGGTGGGTAGTGAGTGCTCGGAGCAGAGTGGTCTGATTCATGGAGGACGTCTTTGCAAAGCCCCTAGTGATGTTCTGTGACCTGCCCTTTATGGTGGACAAACCACTCATCGTGCTGTGGTGGGAAGGGGAAGGGAGGCATAATTAATTTTGTGCTACTCTTTGCCTGCCATGCAAGGGGATTTATGGGATATGATTACTCAACATGTGTAAATGCTTTGAACTCAGTATAAAAAGTCTTTGTCTGGTCATGGTATTTTTCCACATAATAAAGTCTTGTGTATTTGTCAAGTTTGGAATAGGAAAACCAAGCTTGGCATATCAGATCTGGATGCCTTGGTGGAGAAAAAGAGAGAAAAGCCAGCAGAGCCGCCTTGATCGCATTGCCATTCCCATGACTTTTTCACTGGTTTTTGTTTGTTTGGGTTAGCAAAATAGCAACAAGAGAACCAAGGATAGTTCTGGACTACGTTAGCAGGACATTACACCCAGCAATCTTGAAGCTATTCTGCCACACTGCACATGGGATTGTCTTGGAAAAAGAAATGCTGTAAAGCTTACATGTACACATTTGAAAACTGCTAAGAGAGTAAATCTTAAAAGTTCTCATCACAAGAAAAACAATTCTGTGACTGTGTATGGTGATAGATGTTAATGGATGTTAACTGATCATTTTGCATTCTATGCAAATATTGAATTATTAGTCTGTATACCTGAAACTAATAAAATGTGTGTCAGTTGTACCTCAGTTTAAAAAAAAAACTTACATGTTAATTTGCCCCACTTGACTGGTTTATGAATGTACAGTTTGTGAGGGCTGAAGAATCGGGAAAATGGTGTGAAGGAGAGGGTAAAGTTGCTTACAAGGAAAGCAGTTGTTTAGTCGGGTTATATTGCACAGATGGAAGCCTGGAAACATGGAAGCATCATATGAGAGGTAAAGGGCTGTCCTTCTTGACAAGCAGAATAGAATGAAACAAAGTACATAAGCAAACTGTCTGAAAAGCAAAGACTCATTTTTTAAAAAATGTGCTAAAACTAGATATTCCTATATACATTTTAAATGGACAAAAAGCTATTAAATTTAGCATATTACACATTTTACCCTGCTCTAGATGTAACAGTTCAGATGCTGAAGTGGCAATTTGAAAGAAAACTTCACTTGCTTCCCTAGCTTATAATAATTAGAATTTACAAATGCGATACAAAAAAGGAATTATTATGTTCTACTGTCCTCCAAACCCTACCTGACCCACATGAAAACAGGCGGTTGAGTTTAGGGGTTGAGTGTGGATTTGGGATTTAGGTAAACCTTTATTCTAACCTCACTTCCCCACTTACCAGTCCCCTCACATGGATAGGTTACTGAACGCCTGAAGTTCTATTTTCCACAATTGTACAATGGGGATAAATAGCTACCTCACAAAGTTCTAGAAGATTGACATCATGCATTTCAGTCGCTTATCACAGTCCCTCCTAATAATGTGGCAGTTGCTATTTGCTGGCGATGTGAAGCAAGTGTGTTAATTCCCATGATCCTACAACACTGTGAAGTGCCTGTTACTATATCCTTATTTTATAAAAAAGGAAACAAAGACCCAAAGAAGAGTAAATGATAATTATACTATCATCACTTGCGTGACCTACTTTTACTCCATGATAATAGCTTTGATAGCATTTTACTACTAAAAAGAAGGAAACTTTTTGTTTTTAAAGGTCTGCTTAAGTTTGTTGTATTTTATCTAACAGAGTGGATAGGAAAGGGACAGTCTCTGATTCTTTTCTCTTACCTGTCACTGTCTCAGCCCAGCCTGTTTCAGAAAATGAAGAAGGAAGAAAACTTAGGTCATGAAATTGAGCAGAGGTAGCATAAAGGAAATTTGGTTAGAAAGGAGAGCCAAGAGTAAGAATAAACTTTCTTTTCATGACCCCCACTGGGCTTCCAAGGAGTGTCCTTGTGGTCTTATTTACTACTTTTTGGGTGCAGAACTCCAGCTCAAGATAATTGTGGTAAATGCAAAGGGCAGTGGACCAGTACCCAGGGTTTTCAGTGAAGGGAGGTTGGGCCCTTTCACTGAGGCTGTGTGTTCTCTGAGGTTCTGGCTGGCCCAGCACCCATCTTAGGTAGAACCAGTCGAACGGCTTTAGCCCACAAGTTTGCCATTTTTTCCTGAAGTTTATGAGCTGAATCACTTCTGAAGGACTTTTAGTTGCCACCCTCACCCCACTATCTTGTTTATTTTAGAAGCATGGTGTTTTCAAAGGCAGTAATAGATTTTCTACTGTCTGCCATATTAGGGGTGTTGCATTCAGTTCTTGTTTCTGCTTTTAAGAGGGGTCTTGTCAGTGACAGTGATGGGTGACAACTGGATCACATGAACATGGTCAGATTTCATCTCCATCATCCTGGACTCAGGGTCATTTCTCAAGGAGGGTCATTAGGGAAGTGGACTGGGTGTGTGCATCTCAACATCCTGGAGAACAGTTCACAGATTCCCTGGTGGCTCAACCTGGTAAAGAATGTACCTGCAATGCGGGAGACCTGGGTTCTATTCCTGGTTTGGGAAGGTTTCCTGGAGACGGGAACGGCTACTCACTCCAGTGTTCTGGCCTGGAGAATTCCGTGGACTGTATAGTCCATGGGGTCACAAAGAGTTGGATATGACTGAGCAACTTTCACGTTCACAGATTCTTTGAGAGAGGAAAGAAGAATCGGGACGTTAGAAAAGCCAAATTTGGAGAACTTTAGGGGGAGGTTGAAGTATTTCCAGAGAGTAGTTCCAGGATTGGTGGGCGGAAGTTATGAGAAAGTATATATTCCTTAAAGCAATCAAAGGTGAAATTGCCCACCAATTAAAAGTGTCCAAAAGGGGTATATGTTCCCACATGAAGTGTTGAGGGTTGCAGTATCAGAAGTGCCTGGATTGTTTCCTGAAAACCCCTGTTCCATGCAGAATATTGGAGCAAATTAATTCTGAAGTCCTTGTAAGGAATAAACCATCATAGAAAGTTAAAATCTGTCTGGTTACCATTCTCTGTCTTAGCTTCTTCTTCCACTACTCACAAATAAGTTCTTAGAATATAGCAGTGCTATTTTTGTGGGAGTACCTTTTTCCTTCATCAGTCACAGAGAATACTGAATATATTGTTGTAGGATTTGTTTTTTTTTTTTAAACACTGAATGTTTCAGAGTTTTTCTGTAATAGTTCTTAAATATCTTTAAAAAATTTTTTTTCTAATTCTACATGTTGCTGTGCCAATGTTTATTTAGCCATTTCTTTACTGCTTGACATCTATGTTGTTTTCAGTATTTTGTTCTTATCAAACAGGTGATCATAAACATTCTTGACCACACCTCCTTGTATTTCTCTGCAATAACCATCTAAGAGTTTTTTTAATTCTGCTTCTAACTAAGGAATGGAAAAGTTATCAGTTTTGATTCCCCTTGCAAAGGCAGAGAAATCATAGTAGATATTGAAGAGGTGAATCCAGACATTCTGGGTGGCACGCTTAGAAACAAAATAGGAATGGTTATCACATACTTTTAGAAAACCACAGTGGCTTATTGTGTTCCTGGTGGTTTCAGACACATAAATTTATTCTGCCACCTCACAGAGCGATTAGCTTGAACAGGCCTTTTTGTCACCCTTCTTTCTATCTGGCAGAATCTAGAGCGGTGGTGAGCATACACTGGGCCCTTTGGTGCATAAAAGTTGGATTTCCTCTTGTTCTGTCCTGAAGGAGGAGGGAAAAGCACTAAAACCTGAAGCAGAGTTTGCTGGAGGCTGGTGGGGGGACCACCTGAATTCCAGGCCCCTGGGATCCTGGTTAACAGTGCTGCTCCCGGGCTAGCCTCCAGACCATCAGGAATATAGCTGGGAACCCACGGTCCCTATTATTATGCTCCCCAAGTAATCTGACTGACACACACCTAGATTGAGAAGTGATTTCAAGGGTCCAGAAGAGCCACACCCGACAAGCCTACAGCAGAGGGAAGAATTTTTCTGGGAAGGAAGAAATTACTGTTGATAAGATTAATAATTTTTTTTCTCATTTCTGAAAAATTTTAGATTAATCCTTAGCTGAAAGTAGTTTTGATAGTGTTAGAACCATTGTCTGGGTAGGTCTTAGCCTCTGGTTATCACGCATGTGCTATACATCATTAGATGAGGCTTTATTAGATGGGTATGATTTCTGGCTTCTGTTGAAAGCTAGTAATTATGTATAATGTTCTTAAAATGCTGTATTTATATTTATCTACCTTCCCCCACCAGGCTGCTCTTTATGGATGTGGCTGCTGGGCTGAAAATACTGGAGCTCATAATCCCTACTCCACAGCTGTGAGTACCTCAGGTATTTGCTGCTTTCATGACCATTTTTCATTACTTCAACCTCGTAGGTCATTTATTGATTGAAAACTGTGTTTTTATGTAAACACAAAGTATGTGCTAAGACACTTCATGGACCAGAACATTGATGCTTCAAAGATCTTTGATACTTGGGTATTTTTGAGAATTGTTTCACAACATAGTATCACAGTATAAATGGTTTGCTAACATTTTCCGTACAACTTTGGGGTTAACTAAAATTTAGTTATATTTTTAATGGATTTTTTTCCCCTAATGACTCATGATAGTGCCAAATTTGGGTCAAAATGATATAAAAGTAGCAAGGCATTTGAAAAACTAAGAGGTCATTTATTAAGTAAAATGTTGACGTAAATCTCACAAGGTGTATTTCAAAATGTGTATCATGGCATATACTTTTGACAAAATGTAGGTCCTCTTTTTGTATTTGTATTAGAAGAGTCTATCATTCAGAAGTGTGTGTGTGTGTGTGTGTTGGGAGAGTGGATTTGAGTGGGCAGAATAGTTGTTGTCTAGATCCAGGTTTTCATGTGCTTGTGCCAGATGTACTCGAAGCTCATGATGTGGTTGATGTGTGTGGGTGACATAATAATATTGGTTCCCCCACTTTGCCATGTCATCTCTCAAGTCAGAATCCTAGGACTTTGTGCCAGCTGTCCTCAGGCTTTCTTGGGAGGGCGAGTGGATATGGCCTCCTCTCTTTCCTTTCTCTCTCTGGTCTCTCCCGCATTGTTTTCTGCCCCACCACACTGACCAGCCACCCAGTCCAGCCGCCCTCCTCTCTTGCTTGCTCCTGCCTCTCTGGGGTCTCTGCCTCTAGTGTAGACCCTGGACCTAGCCTGGTTTGTCCTGCTGCCTTGACCTGCTCCATCTTCTTCCCACTGCTAGTAACCCTGGGCGTGGCTTTTCCTCATCTTTCTGTGGGCTTCCCCTTGGTGACTTGGTGATGTTTCAGTGGTTATCCCTTAGAGTGCTGGCTTCCATGTCTATCCTACTCTGTTCTTCATGCTTGAAGTCCACCTTAGTCCTTTCTGCCTTCCTGCTGGCCACATCCCTGTGGGTGCCATGTATGCACATGAGGTTCAGTAGCACAAATAAACACCTTTTTTCCATATTCCCACACTGTGGCCACCTTTCTCCTGCATTCCATGCCTCTTTTATTGCCATCACTATTTTGAGTTTCCCTGGTGGCTCAGCTGGTAAAGAATCCACCTGCAGTGTGGCAGACCTGGGTTCTATCCCTGGGTTGGGAACATCCCCTAGAGAAGAGAATGGCTACTCACTCCAGTATTCTGGCCTGAAGAATTTCATGGACTGTATAGTTCACAGGGTGGCCAAGAGTCAGACGTGACTAAGCGACTTTCACTTTCACTTTCATTAACCTATTTAGTCAGACTTGAATTCTTGGTACCATTCTCAAATTTGTAGCTTCTGTCCATTTCTTCTGACCTGACTCTGTTATTTCAGACCCCTAAACTGCCCACCTCTTGTAGCAGCTTCTTGATCTTGATCCTTTTCTTGGATTGGTGGAAATATTTGATTTTGAGCCACTCAGGTGGAGTCCAAACACAAATTAATGTTGAATCTAAATCAAATCATGCTAGACCAGATCATATAATAGACCAAAAATTGTTTTCTAATTTGAAGAGATGAGCACAAGGTAATAATATGAGTTAATTTTTAATTTAATATTGCTGGCACGTGAAAATCTTTACACATAATACTTAGGAATTAGTGTGGCATAATTAATGCATAATTATGTATGCATAATTAAGTATGGCCCATATCTATGGAAAATTGTGGTATTTGAATAAATCAAAGTCTAAAACATTTGATTCATTGTTTCATTTTCATTTTCCTAAAGAAGTATCAGTTGGTATCATGTGTTGTGTTGACTTTATTTTTTGTCAGTATGTGGTTCAGCAAGTTGGTTTGTTGCATTTTAAATGTTACTCTTATGCCTGCACGTTCAGTCCAGTTCAGTCGCTCAGTCCTGTCTGACTTTTTGTGACTCCATGAACCGCAGCAGGCCAGGCCTCCCTGTCCATCACCAACTCTCGGAGTTTACTCAAACTCATGTCCATTGAGTTGGTGACATGCCTTCCAGCCATCTCATCCTCTGTCATCCCCTTCTCCTCCTGCCCCCAATCCCTCCCAGCATCAGGGTCTTTTCCAATGAGTCAACTCTTCGCATGAGGTGGCCAAAGTATTGGAGTTTCAACCACAGCATCAGTCCTTCCAATGAACACCCAGGACTGATCTCCCTTAGCATGGACTGGTTGGATCTCCTTGCAGTCCAAGGGACTCTCAAGAGTCTTCTCCAACAGCACTGTTCAAAAGCATCAATTTTTTGGCACTCAGCTTTCTTCACAGTCCAACTCTCCCATCCATACATGACCACTGGAAAAACCATGGCCTTAACTAGATGGACCTTTGTGGGTCTGCATGTTAGGAGACCTGAATTCTACTTTAAGCTGGAATTCTGAGAGCCTACTTGACTGTGTCACTTTGGAAAAGAAATTCAATCTCCTTGGGGTCATCCGTCTCCCTTCTTTTTTTCTTTACAGATGATTTTTGTTGCTCCCTTCTTTTTTAAATTGGTGATGTGAAAGTTGGAATAGTAGTACACTTTATGGATTTGATTCTATGAAGTATAATGTAGTGGGGAGAGGGGTAAGCCTAAATTGTGAAAATAAGGTCTTTCACCCTTCCCCTTGAATATTTCCTTGTTTGCCTATCTCATATCCATTGAAGATAGTTTTATATGATTAAAGATAACTTTAGGTTTCTAGTCTAAGATATCTAGTGTAGCTGTTTAGCTCTGATGCCCAGCCCATCATCTTATAACCTTAAGTTTAAGGACTAAGATCTTAATGACCCAGATTACCATGATGTTGTGGTTATTCATCTAGAGCCAGACATCCTGGAATGTGAAGTCAGGTGGTGGGCCTTAGGATGCATCACTATGAACAAAGCTAGTGGACATGATAGAATTTCCACTGAGCTATTTCAAATCCTAAAAGATGATGCTGTTAAAGTGCCACACTCAGCATGCTAACAAATTTGGAAAACTCAGCAGTGGCACAGGACTGAAAAAGGTCAGCTTTCATTTCAATCCCAAAGAAGGGCAATGCCAAAGAATGTTCAAACTACCACACAATTGCACTCATTTCACATGCTATCAAAGTAATGCTCAAAATTCTCCAAGCCAGGCTTCAACAGTATGTGAACTAAGTATTTCCAGATGTTCAAGGTGAATTTACAATAGGCAGAGGAACCAGAGATCAAATTGCCAACATCTGTTGGATCATCAAAAAAGCAAGAGAGTTCCAGAAAAACATCTTCTTCTGCTTCATTGACTACACTAAAGCCTTTGACTGTGTGGATCACAAGAAACTATGGAAAATTCTTCAAGAGATGGGAATACCAGACCACCTTACCCTCTTGGGAAACCTGTGTGCAGGTCAAGAAGCAACAGGTAGAACCAGACATGGAACAATGGAGTGGTTCCTAGTTGGGAAAGGAGTAAGTCAGGCTGTATATTGTCACTCTACTTATTTAACTTCTATGCAGAATACATCATGAGAAATGCTGGGTGATAAACCACACGCTGGAATCAAGATTGCCAGAAGAAATACCAATAACCTCCAATATGCAGATGACACCACCCTTATGGGAGAAAGCAAAGAAGAACTCAAGAGCCTCTTGATGAAAGTGAAAAGAGGAGAGTGAAAAAGCTGGCTTAAAACTCAACATTCAAAAAATAAAGATCATGGCATTCAGTCTTGTCACTTCTTGGCAAATAGGTGTGGAAACAATGTAAACAGTAACAGACCTTATTTTTTTGGGCTCCAAAATCCCTGCAGATATGGTGACTGCAGCCATGAAATTGAATGACCCTTGCTTCTTGGAAGAAAAGCTATAACAAACTTAGACAGCATATTAAAAAGCAGAGACATTACTTTACTGACAAAGGTCCGTCTAGTCAAAGCTATGGTTTTTCCAGTAGTCATGTATGGATGTGAGAGTTTGGACCATGAAGAAAGCTGAGTGCCAAAGAATTGATGCTTTCGAACTATTGTGTTGGAGAAGACTCTTGAGATTCCCTTGGGCTGCAAGGAGAGGCAAACCAGTCAGTCCTAATGGAGATCAGTCCTGAATATTCTTTGGAAGGACTGATGCTGAAGTTGAAGCTCCAATACTTTGGCCACTTGATGCGAAGAACTGACTCATTAGAAAAGACCCTGATTCTGGGAAGGATTGAAGGCAGGAGGAGAAGATGGTTGGATGGCATCACTGACTCGATGGTCATGAGTTTGAGCAAGCTCCAGGGGGTGGTGAAGGACAGGGAAGCCTGGAGTGCTACAGTCAGTGGGGTCACAAAGAGTCAGACACGACTGAGGGACTGGACAGCAAGTCATCAGCCAACGGAACATGAGGATAATAGAGCAAGTCTCCAGTTATTTCCATCTATGATTGCTTCACTCTTGTTTCTCCTGGGGCTGTTGCTAGGAGGTTGACAATGGGAACACATGGCAGAGTTGAGTGAGTAAGTCAGAAGAAAGGTGGAGCACAGAATTTTGCAATTTTTTTGGTTTAAACAAACAAAAAGGACATATGCCTTAGGCTGTTGCAGAAAATCCAGAGACCTGGCCTACATTTTAGTTTTATAGTTCTTGGTAGATGATTATTGAAAGACAGAGGGAAGATACCTAGTTATGGTCAAGGTAGGACTCTCCTAAGGCCAGACAGGGGATGTGGTTATTAGCCTGAGGGATAAACTCCAGCATCTTGTGGGGAAGAAGTTAGAGGGTGGGGAGCTCACCTTGCAAAATCTGACTAATGTTCTGGCATCTTGGAAATTTGCTGAGCTCAAGAGGGAGCAAAGGAAATATGTAGGTTCTTGTTCAGATTCTTGATTCACTGGCTGAGACATCCTAGCAAGTAGCTGTTTATACAACATGAATAGTATTATCTTAACATTCA